GCAGGGTCGCCAGGCATCCAAGGGCAGGGCCTTGAACAAATAGGCCGCCTGGTCGACCTCCGCGTAACGAACCTTCAGCTGGACAAGGAAACAGCCGAGGAGGTCTTCTTGCATGAGGTTGGACAGCATGTCTCGGGCTGTCTTATAGCAGATCTCTCTGGTCGGTCGATGGATATATCCAATGTGGAAGATGTGCAGACAAATCGCCTTGATGAGACTGAAATCCTTCGAACGGTTACGGTCGTTGGCCATCTCAAAAAAGGTCTGCAACAGGTAGTACATATCCTCGGGCGCCACATCCGCATTGGCCTCATCGAACTTGACCCAAAAGTCGTCAGACTGGAAGGCGGCCTCCGCATTGCCAACCAAATCGGTCAGATCCGTGGGAAAGCCCACATTCAGATAGTAGAAAAGGTGCCAAATGATCTCCGCATCGAGGGTGCCGAACGGCAGCGTCGAAAAGTACTGCCAAGTGCCCAGATTGCGGGTGCGATAAATGTAGCCGCATGCTCGAAGAAGCAATGCCTGCAGCTCCACCTGAATCCGTTCGAACAGCTCCGAAGATTTGCTCAGGTTGTTGTGTCTACAAGCGGAGGCTTTTATAGTCTTACATGTGTATGTACAATGAAAATATAACTCACAGAAAAAGCTCGTGATAGTCGAAGACATACTGGAGCGAGTGGCGCACCAGGCGACCCAGTCGCTTGGCCAGCTGCTTGTATCTTTCGTTGTTATAGGTGAGCATTCCCTCGCCCAGGGTCTTCACTAATTGGGAAAGGAAAACCACAGCCGAGAGCATTTGCTGGCCTGTTATTATGTCCGGCTCGATGATGTAGTCGTCCAGAAACTTTTCAATTCCCATAGCCGATCTAAAACAGGAGTCGATCTTCACATAATTTTCAGAAAGGAGTTTTTCTTCTTACGTAAAGATTTTCTCGAACGGGAGTTGGTTCAGCAGCGCTATCAGGTCGCTCTCCTTAAGACCGATGCACTCGCCGGTGGGTGTATGTGAGTCCTCGCCATCCGAGTCGACAACCGTCCAGCAGTCCGCGGCTGCCGCCGACTCAGACAGCTCGCGGTGCGCTTGGGTCTGACTCTTTAGATACTCATTGCGGCGTTTCACGGGCATCAAGAGGATCTGCAGCACCGACATGCAGTGATTCAGTTCCGGCGAGGTCAGACCCAAGGGCAACTCATTCTGTTGACTGCCACGGCTTGCTGCCTGCCGCCTCATGCCTGGCAACTGCAGAAACTGGGCTGCCCACGTGCCCACGCCATTGGGGCATCGGAGTATGTTGAACAGCAAGAACCAGTGATCCTCCTTGGTGGCCAGCAACAGCTGTAGAGCAATCAGCTTGCGCAGCCACGTCTTCAGATCCTTTTCAAAGTTCTGGGAAAGAAAAACAATTAATGGTGTCTCCCATTTTCATTTCTCTTGATCCTTTTACCACATTTGGACTCGGTCGCCGCACAAAGCTAAACAGAATGGAGATGGCACATCGCAGCTGCCCCACAAACTGGAGAGCCGCCGCATTCACTTGAGAGTTCAATGAAATGGCTGCCTGGGCATCCACATGGGGATACGAGAGCAGAGAATTGATCATCTGATCGATCTTCACTTTGGTTATCTTCGCTGTGATCAGATTGTTCGTGTAGGTGTGCGAAACCAAGTCGTAGAGGGCCGTAAAGACAGTCTTCGTCAGCTCCAACTTGATTTGGTCAACTTTTATGATACTGTTGGGGCCCAAGAATTAACATTAGAAATGCGAAGACCTCTTGGTATAGAACACTCACTCGTAGGTAATGGTCTCCTGCACAACGTTGCCATCACCGCAAGTAGCGCGAAACGTGCGATTTACCGGCTCTCGCGCCCAAATCTGCTCCTGCGCTTCAACACAGGATTTTCGCAGCTTCTCCACATCGTGTAGATTCGAGGTTAGTTTGCTCTGCAGGTTAAAGTACTCCAGCAGGGCCGCATAGAGGGGATCTGTTTCACTGGTCTCCAGCAGCGAGTTCATGAGAAATTCCAATTCAAACTGCTTGGCCAGCTCCATATCCGGGCAGTCGTAGATTTGCCGCAACTGCTCGGCGTCCAGTGGCTTGAGATTATTGTGCACTAGGGCAAATCCCGATGGCTGGCAATCGGCCTGGCGAAACACAATCTTTGAAGAATGCTCTTCGATCTGGGCATTGGACAGTTTCATGGGCTGCAGATTCGGGTACTGCACGATTTTGGCGCTGCTAGAGGGCGGGGCACTGGGTGCACTCGGTTCCAGCTGCGCTTCCGGTTCGAGTTCGGGTTCGGGTTCGGGTTCTGGCTCTGCCGGCAACTCCAATATATCGCTCGAAATGCAGCAGTCATGACTAATGATGGTCTCGGCCCCGCTGCCGCTGCTGCTGGCCAACGCCGCGACGCGCTCAAACTCTTCCAAGAGAGAAGCATTTTCTGCCGGCCTTTGTTCTGGTGCAGCTACACTACTTGTTGATAACTCGTCGTCACATTCGTCTTCCTCTTGCAGCCTTTGTTGCTGGTTCTCGCGTTGAGGCTTTTTCGTTTTCTGGAATCAACAATCTCTCATGTCATGCGGCTCTTTCTGCTCCAGTGCATCCTTGTGCTTACCACTTTTTTGGGCTTTACTAGCGTGGCCATTATTGTCCGTTTTTGCGAACTCCTGCTCCACCTTTTTGGGGGCCCTGGGGCCAAAAAAAAAATACACTGCTCTGGGTGTTTTCACTTCGGGATTATCTTAGGGCTTTCGTTGTGGCTATCAAGTGCACCCTTTTCCTTATTTAATTGACGCTAATATTTCTTCTTGCTAAATTTCTGCGGATCGCTCGCTGTCTAGTTTTCTTATTTATTTTTGTTGTATTTTCTTTTTTTACATTTCCTCAAATTACTACATGGCAACGACACGGTAAATACAAATGTGCTACATAATAGCACTAACCATACAGTGTACTGGATAGTATAATAGAAAAGAGGGTATGAAAACGGCAAAACCGCCGTGAAACCGTAACGAGTGCAAGGTAAAATCCTCACCTTTTGCTTAACATACCGTGAAGTCAAAAAGCAGTTTTTCTCGTCACCCGCGAGGTGAGGTTTATACGAACCTTGCAATTTTCCCTGGCTGTTTTTGCCTGTTTTCCATACCCTTTTTTATAGGCCATTTAAAACTACGACTTATTTTTTCGTGGTAGGATCATCAAAAACTTTATGTCAAACAGGAAAATCCTCGTGAAAAGTGGCACGAATCTCTCGAACATCTTCCCACTTCCCAAAGGCATACCCCAAGGCTTCCCCATCTCAGTTATCCTTTTTCTTATAGCGTACCATCCACTCACCAAAATCTTATTCCTTCACAAACAGATCAAATTCAGTGCGTACGCCGATGACTTACTCCTTATCAAACCAGCCATATAGGCATAAAAGGTAACGAAATGGGCGACACCTCAGACGAAATACCTCAAAAAAAAACCCTCATATATTCATATCTCGTATCATAATTCAAACGACATCTCCCAATTCCTTAAGTAAATCCTCCAATCCAAGCAAACCGACTTCCTTACTAAAACCTCCCCCTGGTACAAACAAATGACCAATCTGGCTTCCACTCATCCTCACCCCAAAAACAACCTGAACAGAAGACACCAAGTCCTCATGAATAGGTTGAGAATAGGTCACACAAGGTTCACTGGTGCCCACTACATGGATAAAACATCACCCAAGGTATTCCCACTGTGCCACAACTCAACCATAGACTTAAGACACATTATATACGCTTGCCCGGCACTTTCCCTACAAAGATCCTCAATATTCAACAGCACCGACCTTATGCAGGATCACTCAAAAATCCTTCACAACATATAGCCTCATATATAACCAACCCTGTAAACATATTGTACAATATATAATATTACTCTAGTGAGCTTAAGGCCTCAGTAGCTATAGCCCCATACTTTGTTAATAGCTAGTTTTAACTATTTATTAGCTATATATTATAATAATAATAATACCGAAATAAACATACCGATGAAAAAAACAGCTCAGCCCACTTAAACCAACATTACTTAAACAGGATAACAAATAACAGCGGAAAATAATTCTAATAATAATTACTCTTGTAGGTCCATCCTATCCTTCATCTATAATTTAAAAAAAAACACCACGACACGACAAGACCTACATATATGCTATATATATAAGGGGAAACCCTTAAAAAATTAAATCTAATAGACTGATGAAATTGATGAAATGTACCATTACATACCGATATACATTAGACGCCTCCCCGCGCCGCAACAGGTGACCATTGCCTACGAAAGCAATCAGGACTACTCGCTCTTCGAAAAGAGCGCAGAGTGTCATTCTCTTGGATGAAACACATTTTTTCTCTCTTGTATTTAAAATAAATTTATTTACAAAAGAATATTCAAATGAATTCCTTATACAGAGGAAAAGCTGCATACAAAAACGGCTTCCAAACTAATTTACGCTCGCTTTTGTTGCACTTGAAAGTAGTAAAGTATGTGTAATTATAAGAATTTCCATCTCTTGTTTTTTGTTTTGTTTCATTTAAAAAGCTTAGTCTAATATATTTAATTACGAATTCATTTAAGAGTGATCGTAAGGATACCACAACTGTTCCCAGCGGACATCCCACCATGCACATTATTCGGTTTAGAAATTATGTTTCTGTTCAGGTTACAATGGTTAAACATGCATAGAAAAACTAAATGCTTCAAATAAAACAAGCATATCATGGGTAGGGGTAGGTAGGGGGGTGGGAACATACCCAACAAAAAAATTAATAGGTATACATATTTATAGAGTCATAATCTTAATAGCCGCAGAGCTGTTTGTATTGCGTTAAGGTAAATTAAAATCATTTCATTTCCATTTAAGTTAATTTTTGTTTGAGTGGTGTCCAAATTGCTTTTTTTATAATTAGTCTTGCATTATTATTACAGGTAATAAATCTTACAATTTAAAAACGTCCATCTATAGTTTACATACATTTTCGTGTCAATGTATTCATCTTTTGTTTGATTCCAATTGAATTAATTATACACATACATATTATATTTAAGATGCATTTCACAATCTGTCTGTGTATTTTCGTGTGTGCAGGTGCGGGGAAAGGGAAGAGAGTGTCGGGGCAGAGCGGTGGTTTGGGGGGTCTGTTTTTTCGTCTGTCTGTCTATCTGTGGCGCACACAGTGCAACATTGAAAATCCAGCATCGATTGCATCTTATGGCGCTCCTTATCATTAATCAACCAAAAACTGGAAGACACGAACCTATTGATATCATTTTAATTTTGTCGGGTACAGAACGAATTAAGTTGTCTGTTGTGTGGAGAGAATGGAATCTGTATATCTGTGGGTGTGTTGTTGTTAACTCTTAAATGATTGCTTGTAGTTGGCGACATCTTTGCCTGAGTCGACGGCCCAGCTGAAGATGGAAGATGCTGCCACGCACTGATTAGTAATTGGACTTCCATCATCCGATCGGCCTAATTGCACACCTTCGGCGCTGCATCGACGTCGACGGAATTGTTAACGATTTTTGGTTCACCTGCAAAAATATCAACAAATCCTATAAGTTTCTAGGTTCTTTGAGCGTGTTCGATTTGCTCACCATTCACATTAAGCTCGGATTTGTTGACAGCACTGATGGACTGTGCCTGCTTAATGGGCGTCTCTGACACGACTGTGGTATCAACGGCCGCAGCCGGTTCCGTCTTGCTAACATCGTTGGTGGCAGGGACAGGAGCAGGAACCGACGCAGCTGGAGTGGCTTTCTCCCCCGTTGTCTGTTCGGCTTTCTTGGATTCTTCGGCGCTCTCAGCTGGCTTCGGCTCTTCCGTGCTTTTGAGCTCGTCTGAACTTTCTGCGTCCTTTTCCTCCTTGGACTCGGCTGGCACATCCTTTTTAACCTCAGTGGCGACTTCATCGACAACATTATTGCTGGCTTTTGTTGCTTCTGAGCTTGCTACGACCTTTTCGGCTGGTGTGAATCGAACAGTTTCTGTACTACTCTTGGAACTCGAATCCACCTCCATGGGCTCGGGTGAGGGATCCCGGGCGGGTTCCGAAAGCTTTTTTGGCTCCTCCGCTGCCTTATCAGCTGCGGTAGTCGCAGGCGGCTCTGAAGTAGCTTCGGGTGCGCTTTCGGCTTCAGTTTTATTGTCTGCCGATGCTGCTGATGGCTTCTCTTCATCCACTTCCATGGCTGCGGGAGCTGGATCCGCGGCAGCAGCTGGGGCAGGAGTGTCTGTACTAGCACCATTTTCAGGATCATCGTTACTTTTCGGTGGGTCTTCAGCCTTTGGCACTTCTTCTGGCGTTTTCTCCTTCACCTCGGGCTCATCTTTGCTTGCTTTGTCCTCCGCAGCGTGGTTCTGTTGCTCCTCGGGCACAGCTGTCAGCTTGGCAGCAGCACCATCTGTCTGATCCTCATTTTCGATTGACTTGGCATCTGTTTCTTTTGCGTCAGCAGGCTCCTCCTCCTTTTGGGGCTCTGTGGTGGTGGCTGGAACTGCCTTCTTAGGAGTACCTTTGACTGGCTTCTCTTCTCTCTTCACCTCCTTCTTATCTTTCTTGGGAGTAGCCTGAAATGATTTGTTTCGTTAGATTGTGTTTAATGTTTAGAAAATGCTTCACTCACCTTTGCCTTGACCGGCAGAACCACCTTCTCTTCATCGTTGGCTTTCTCCGGCTCCCGGTCGAACTCATCGCTGCCCACGTCTAGTTTGCGCGCACCGCGACCTTTCCCGGCGCCGCCGCCGCCACCGCTCTTTGTGGCTGTCGTCGGCGACGCGCGTGCCTTCTTGTTGGGCGGCGGTGTAACAGTCTCAGCGGCCCGTGTTGGTGTGCCGCGAGTACTGGATCGCGTGCGACGTCCACCCTCTAGCTCCAAGCTGCCGCCCATAGTTCGTACCAGCTCTTCGCTTTCCCGCTGTGCCCGTTCTATGAACGAGCGTCGTTTCGGTGTGCGTTTCTGCAATATTTAATGCAAATGGACTCGATAAATATACATCTACATCTATATACATCTTAGTCAAATATCCGATAAGATAATTGCTACGATACGACGTAGTTTGATCCTGGGCAACATTCTCTCTTACCGCTTTCATCAGTTCAGGAGGATCTCCCATTGTCCCGTGCTAACAGAATTGGATATTAAAAGACGAATAGTCTGGTCAGTCGGTGCCTTTTTGCCGCGATATTGTCGACGATATGTACGTTGTATTAACACAACTGACCTACTATTTTTAATGTAAAGCGTCACTTTTTCAGCGCGATATTTTGGTGTAAGGTGATTTATGGTTCACAAGCGTCAAAGTTATTCAGTGTTTACATATCGACATAAAAGATGCAGCACCCTGTACACTAAAATAATTCCCACTGTTAGCTAACATAAATCTGTGCCAATCAACATCGGTGATTGGACGCCACTGATCAAGTATTAATTCCCCTATAACCATCGGACAACAAATTAAACCCGAATCTAGAGCGCAACGTATTCCATCAATACATGAATACATACAAAAGCATACAATATATGTCAGTACAGTGCCTCCCAGCTAAAAACGAACAGTCGTAGTAGAAATGTTCGAAGTACTGCAGCTACTAATAGTAATAATTTTTGATAACAGAGATAGCGGCCACTGAGAAGAAAAAATATTATTTGCCAAGTTTTTTCCATCCCAAAATTCGTTACAAGTTTGAATTCGCCGTATATCTACATTATGCTAAAAGTTACAGCGCTCTGAACATTATGTTTACGACTGCGTGTTAACAAGCGGCTGCCTCTACATTTGTGTGGTAAAGTACAGCAAACAACAAAAAGTCGAAAAGAGAACAAGCAAAAATAAAAACAAACGAGACGCAGCGGCAAAACGTGCGTCCAAAAGGGAAACGCCGATTGCTTGCTCACCAACCTAACGGCAACAGCAACGAGTACATACACACACACATACATGCATCGAATGTATCTTCCACGGGGGAGTAGAGTTTTGGAAAAAGCGCGCGCACACGAGGGCAAGTAGCAGTAGAAAAAAACGTAAATAGAAAATGGACAATAAAACGCAACACCCAAAATGCACACAAAAACTGTGTGCGCGTGCATACGTGTGTACGTTTTTATTTTGGAAAATTACTGAATAACCCAGCGCTTATGTTCCCCTAGTCACCCGTAGGACACAAAACACTCCGCCATAGATAATTCGGGTTATTCATTTGTGTGCGTGGAACAGCGCGCGCTCTTATCGCTGTTCACTGGCTGTTAATTGTCACTAAATATGTATATGCAACGCTACTTACGGGTGTTTTTTTCTCATCCAACGCCGCCTCCTCAACACTGCTGTTGTCCAGCACCGTCTCCGGCTTCTGTGCGCCAGTTTCGTCGGACATTATTTGGTTAATGCAATGTTTCCAGGCGTTTCTGTACAATTAATAATATGTTTTATTGCGAAACCGTGTGTATTTCGCAATATTTTAACTTCAAACTGCTTCGGCTGCAGACTCTGACTCTGGCACGGCACTGACGAGTTTATTTCACTGTCCCTTGTACACAACTACAGGTAAATCTACACGCTGGGCAAAGCGTGAACCCGCAAATTTTATAAATGCCGGATACGTGTACTTGCAACAAAATTTACTGTTTGCAAATATTGTATTATGTTGCGAAATACAACTGGCTATATATTTCGAATATTATTTGCAATAAAACAATCCGCCTTTCACACTTTTTTTGTGTTTTTTAAATTGCAATCGCGCTTCCGAACGTAACTAAACTCAGTAGATTTATCGGACTTATCGATCAAATATACCGACGACCCTTAGAAATATACCGAGATACGTCACAAATTTCAAAATATACTGACGAATTATTTGTATTCAAGTTTTATCATATTCCTCGTTTTTGATATTCGGTTAAATAATACTCGCCGACTAAGAACTACAGCTCTGAACTCATAATTTAATCCGAATATAAGATTAATTTCCTACAAGACTGGTTAACTTTAAGTTTTCATCTTTATTGCATTGCCTATAAATTAAGGTTTAAGCAAAACCGGTCAACAACAATTTCCACTAAATTAGTTTCTTTACATAGTAAGTACACGCAATCTACACATTTGCTACATATTAACTACATTATATGTACTTACCAAAGGCGACACCTGAGGGGGAAATGTGTACGTTTCAAAAATGTTTCCCCGTTTATTTTTCATATAAGCCCAACTTAGTTACAGGAACGTTTTTGGACGTTAAAAATAATATACGGTGCTTTTCAGCACGTTTGTTTCTTTAGATATAGGAAGTTTTCTGAAAACGGTCGTTTTGAAGTTAGTTTTTTAACCACAATTGAAAGTATATACTTGATTAAAAATACATATTGTCAGTATGACCGTTTACGGCATTTTTCACACGGTATTTTTATGGCGCTAGGACGGTAGGTTCAGTGTCTCGAAACGCCTCAAATTTCCACGCGGCGCTGTTGATTGTTATTTTTATTTATACATCCAAAAATGGTCTCGCAAGAGCAGATCGAAGCCATTGGCGGGGTGCTGAACAACAAGGACAGGCCCCTCAAGGAGCGGTTCCGCGCCCTCTTCACACTGAAGAATATTGGTGGAAAAACTGCCATTGATGCCATAAGCAAAGCATTCGACGATGATTCAGCCTTGCTCAAGCACGAATTGGCCTACTGCCTGGGACAGATGCAGGATCCAACGGCGTTGGAAATACTCACCAAGGTCTTGAAGGACACCGCACAGGAGCCAATGGTTCGCCATGAAGCTGCCGAGGCCATGGGCGCTATTGGCCACGCGGACGTGCTGGCCATTCTCGAGGAGTACAAGAAGGATCCCGTCGTCGAGGTGGCCGAGACATGTGCCATTGCGCTGGACCGTGTCCGCTGGCTGCAGAGTGGACAGCAGGTGGCTGACAACAATCCCTACGCCTCCGTGGATCCCTCGCCCCCGACAGCTGGCGACAAGAGCGTGGCCGAGCTAAAGGCCATTTACTTGGACGCCAAGCAGACGCTGTTCGATCGCTACCGGGCAATGTTCAGCTTGCGCAACTTGTGCACAGAGGAGAGCGTCCTCGCCATAGCCGAGGGACTCAAGGATTCGTCCGCCCTGTTCCGACACGAGGTGGCCTTTGTTTTGGGCCAACTTCAAGAGCCCTGCAGCATTCCATACTTGCAGGAGAACCTAGAGGACCACAAGGAAAATGAGATGGTGCGCCACGAGTGCGCCGAAGCTCTGGGAGCCATTGCCACAGACGATTGCATACAGATTCTGACCCGCTATGCGGACGATGAAAAGCGTGTGGTCAAGGAGAGCTGTGTGATTGCACTGGACATGTGCGAGTATGAGAACAGTCCAGAGTTTCAGTATGCCGACGGCCTATCAAAGCTGGATGGAACCAAATAATCATATTTATCATTTGAATTTATTTAACTGTATATATTATTTGTAAAATTTGTATTGTTGAATCACATCACAGAATGTGATTAACCAGAATCTAATCTTATCGGTGCAGTAAAGCAAAACGAAACGTGACTTTTAAAGGGTTCCTCATTGTTGAGATAATTTTATTGGTTTACTTGCACGGAGAAACTATTTATTACACGCGGAGATTTAATCTAACAAGTCAAACACGGAAATTTAAAATTTAAAAATTTAACCGCTCTTTTTGTTGAAATTACAGCTTTGCGCTTGTGTAGAGTTGAGTTGCGTTTATCGTATCTTTTTTATTTACTTTTTAGTAGATTTAACCCGCTTTTTATAAAAACCACGGCTTCACATTGGTACATCGGTCGTGTGGATTGCAGACTTACGCATCCCAAGAAAAAGTAAAAAAAACACTATAAGCTTTGTATTTTTTTAAAATCGAGAATGCATCGAAAATCGATTGCCTCGATAAGCATGCTGGGTACCGTACTAGCGCTTTTTTCATTAATTTCTGTAGCGATGGCGGCCAACAAGGAGCGTACTTTTATCATGGTTAAGCCCGATGGAGTCCAGCGTGGACTCGTCGGCAAGATCATTGAGCGCTTCGAGCAGAAGGGCTTCAAATTGGTTGCCCTGAAGTTCACCTGGGTAAGCAAATAATTAAGTTAATAAATCAATAGCGCGCCCCCATGCTGGCTGGCGCATCGTGTTTAACCTCAAAAGCGGCGCATTCAGGTGGGGGCGCGGCGCGTCATCAATTTGACATGTGTTTTAGAGGTCAAGAAAACGGTGATAGCGTTACAATATCTGTTTTGTAATCATTGCAGGCCTCCAAGGAGCTGTTGGAGAAGCACTATGCCGATCTGTCGGCCCGCCCCTTCTTCCCTGGATTGGTCAACTACATGAACTCCGGTCCAGTGGTTCCCATGGTGTGGGAGGGCTTGAATGTGGTCAAGACCGGCCGTCAGATGCTTGGCGCCACCAACCCAGCCGATTCCTTGCCCGGCACCATTCGCGGAGACTTCTGCATCCAGGTGGGCCGCAACATCATCCACGGCTCCGATGCCGTCGAGTCTGCTGAGAAGGAGATCGCCCTCTGGTTCAACGAGAAGGAGCTGGTCACCTGGGCTCCAGCTGCCAAGGACTGGATCTACGAATAAAATGGCAGTCATGTGTGGAATCAGATGTTAATCTGCATTTGCCTCTCACTTAAGTTATACAGTACAGAGATTCTTCAAAAGAAATAAAATTCCATCATTCTTATAAAAGTATTCCATTTTATTTAGCTCTGTACTCTACCCACTCACTGGTCGGCTCTTGGGTTGGCAGCACCCATCCGCGAGGTATACAGGAGCCTCGTTTTCCATGAGTTATATAAGAATCCCAGATGGAACTGAAAATAAAATTGGATTATTTGATGGACTATGCTGATGGCCTTACTGATCTTACCGCCGCATGAGAAACTCTGGTTTATTTAGCCGTCGATTCTGACAAGATGAGGGTTTGCCAAAGAACACAACGTCCCATTGGGTCTCTATCAATGGCGACTTGGACTTGTTGATTTTGCCACTTGTACTCTCCTGCTGCACCCGTTGCCATACAGTGCGCATGGACGCCAGCTTCTCGGCTAGTGTCGCCGTATCTCCGCCGCGGGCCTCGCATAGCTTTACTAGAAGGTCTAACCTCTCCAACACACTGGCGGCGTCACTACGTTTTTTTAACGTGATGCCCTCCGTTTTCTTGTCCATTGGAAAAGGACGAGGTTCGTCAGGGGGCTTGGGCACGTGTTCATTCTTCAAAAGGCGCTTGGCTGCTTGCTTGCTTCTAAATTTCCACCGCCGGCGTTTTCTGCGTCGTTGGATGCCGGCAATTTTTGCGGCCGTTCTGGAGTCGATTTCGTCTAGCTGGGCTATCGTGGTCTCTTGGGGAACTTCAAGCTGTCCCGCATCAACTCTTCTTGGCGGGGCATTGCTAACAACATCCAATTTCTGTAGATCGGCAACAGATTGTTCAGTATTTGTCTTTATTTCGTATAATTTTGGAATTTTCGCCGGCATTTTAAGTAGTGTTGGAAAACGTCAAAGGCATGCACAGCTGTTTGGCTGATTTTAGTTTATTAAATATAATATTACATACATATAAATAAAATTAATGCGAAACATATGTAGTTAGGGAAGCATCATTAAATACTATTGAGGGAACGTATTAAGATTTGTTTGCCGCAAGGGCTTTAAACCGCCAGCACACCTTTGGCTTCGGTTAAAATCTCGGCCGCTTTTGTGTAGGTCTCCGTCTCCTTGAGATCCACCTCGTCGTCAAGAAACTTCTGCAGCACCTCGTACTCCTTTTGCAGTCTGGAGAGAGACGAGAAATTAATTAAATTTGTCGTTCGGCTGGGGTTCTTAGATAATGGAAATACCTGCGCTTTGAGTCCGGAATCATCATCTCACACTCCGCGATGACTTCCTCCTGCTTGCGCAGCACATGGTCATCAGCGCCATCATTACGGAATTTCTCCAAACGGGTGCGTTCAATATTAACCTCCTTCTCGTAAGTTGTTTTCTCCTTGGACAGGCGCTTCACGACACCCGTTTTTATAACCAATTGCCTGATGCGTGGATCTGCCATTTTTGTGCTACCACCGGGTTATTGGAATTTCAAGTGATGAAAATTGGAGTTAGAGCCACTGTTTTTATTCTGAGTCACTGCAATTTTAATAATTGCTGAACAGCCGTCTAAATTTTGTTTGTGCTTTTAAATGCCGCCTGTGAGTCAGTTCCAGAGCTGCCACCCTGTGCCACAGAAGTCGGAATGTGGCATTCACAGTAAACTCAGAAAACTGTTAAATTCAAACGACAACAATCTTATATAAGATGGTAACATTTCGTGTGTACATACATATGTATAATACATATTAGAAGTGTTTGTTTTTGGATAAAATAATACAAATTGTTTAATCGATTTATTTGGTATTTTACGGTTAAGCTTCCTTTATTTTTCTCATCATTTAAAAGATCTTTTTATCAAGCAACATGTTCTGTATCCATGAATTTTGTTTGGTGTTTGGTTACAATTACAATTAAATGTGTGTCTAAATTCAGAGAAGAGAGTGGTTTATGTGGGCAATGACCTGCGATTAACGTATATATATTGTGTGTTGTATGCAAATGCAAATGAGGCTCGATAGAACATTTAGAATGTTTTGTCAAAAACCGCATGATTATGTATGTGTGTGTTTGTGTTATAATATTTTTTGTAATACTTCTTAAGCATTTGTCTTTTGGTTTCGAGAGAAAATTTTGAATTCATTACGAATGTAGTCTTTTTTGGTTGTTGTTCTTTCAATGAGGAAAACGAATGGTTGCTTGGAGGGGTGGAGCATGGTTTAAAACTAAACTCTGAAATTACAGTGTGTAATAGATTTTAAATCGAATGCCTCCGACTTGACTTATCAAAAGTATAAAAAGTGTTTAAAATCCATTGGTGACGGTGACACGATGGGCGATGGTTATGGCTGATAGGATGTTTCTTGTTGTTGTTGTTGATGAAGAGATGTCTATGCGGATGTTTAATAAAATTTTATTATTAGTGATGGATGAGTATATCGATGAGGCTAGCGGCAAGCTACAGTGGCATTTTGGTTGGCTCCCTTTGCTCCTGCGCATGTCGACAACGACGAAGGTTTCCTGCGAAAAGACTTGCGATGGCGATACAAATTCAGATAGATGCAGTAGATGGCAACGTTGAGTGCCACGACCGACTGGGCGAGCGGAAAGGACACTGGATACTCGTCCGTCTGGCCACCAACGCGATGATGCTTCGGTAGAAGGGTGCCACCATCGACTCTGATAACGCTGCTAATGCTGCTGCTGCTGCTGCTGCTACTGGTGGTGGCCGCCTGCTGCTCCTCGCTAATTGTGTGTGTGATTATTATTAATTGTAGTATTTGTTCGATTTCGTATAATATTTGCATGCAGCAGTTGGTGATATTAGTAATTGGTGTTTCTTCTTCTTCGGTTGCCACTGATTTTGGTTTTGATCGTCGAGTAGATATTATAATTTTGAGATGTGTTGCTGATGCTGCTGTTGCTGCTGTTGCTCTAGCCGTTTGCTGCTGGGATTCTTGAGTGATGTTGTTGCTGTTGCTCTCGCTTATGTTGTAGGTCTGCTGGCACCCTAGTTATTTCTTCTTCTGTGCCTTCTCAGCGGCTTTTGTTACTTTGCCCGAGGTCGTTTCTTTAAAGTTGACGGACTTGATAACGCCCACGGCGACCGTTTGACGCATATCGCGAACAGCGAAACGGCCCAGCGGCGGAAACTCCTGGAAGCTCTCAACGCACAGCGGCTTGCTGGGCACCAGCACAATGATTGCCGCATCCCCCGACTTGATGGCCTTCGGTTCGGTCTCCGTTGTCTTGCCCGTACGACGGTCGCACTTCTCCTTGATCTCCGCAAACTTGCACGCAATATGGGCCGTATGGCAATCCAAAACGGGCGTATAACCGTTGGCTATCTGCCCGGGATGGTTCAGAACAATCACCTGCACAACACAAAAATGGAAATACAATCACTTTTCCCCATTCACAAAGTCGGTCTTTATCCTTACCTGAGCGGTAAAGTCAGCAGCTCCTCGGGGTGGATTGTTCTTGGAGTCGCCAGCCACATAGCCACGTCGCAACTCCTTAACCGAAACGTTTTTCACGTTAAAGCCAACATTATCACCCGGCATGGCTTCGGTGAGGGCCTCGTGATGCATTTCGACGGACTTTACCTCAGTGACCAAATTAACCGGCGCAAAGTTAACGACCATGCCTGCAACGAATACATACATACGAATGTATGCATACATATACATATATATACAGTAGGTTCTCTATCTGTCGGATGGGAATTGGAATGGGGTGTGTGCAGCTGGGGTGCCCGTGCCCGAGCCTCGCTCTCGACGCTCAATAATGCATACATGCGCAGGGCTTCGTGTCGAGCTTCGGTCACGGTGGCGGCAGCGGCAGCGGCGGCGTCGGCGGCGGCACCCAAACGCCGACCCAAATTTAGATGGGCAGCTCTGGAGGCAGAAAACTTGAATGAACACTAATCATGGGCAGGGCAGTGAGTGTGTGGGGGGGGTATTAAATCAAGATTACATTGTGATTCCATCCAATCCTTACCTGGCTTCAGGATGCCGGTCTCCACACGACCAACGGGCACTGTGCCAATACCGCCAATCTTGTAGACATCCTGCAGGGGCAGGCGCAGTGGCTTGTCGGTGGGACGCTGTGGCGGCAAGATCGCGTCCAGCGCGTCAATCAGGCATTTGCCCTCGCCCTTACCCTCCTTGCGCTCGACGGTCCAGCCCTTGAACCAGGGCATCTTCTCGGAGGGCTCCAGCATGTTGTCGCCGTGCCAGCCGGAAATCGGGACGAATGCCACCGAGGCCGGATTGTAGCCGATCTTCTTGATGTACGAGGATACCTCCTTCTTGATTTCCTCGTACCGAGCCTCGCTGTAGGGAGGCTCGGTGGAGTCCATTTTGTTGACGCCCACAATCAGCTGTTTAACGCCCAGTGTGAAGGCGAGGAGGGCGTGCTCACGGGTCTGGCCGTTCTTGGAGATACCAGCCTCGAACTCGCCAGTACCGGCAGCCACAATCAAGACAGCGCAATCGGCCTGCGAGGTGCCGGTGATCATGTTCTTGATGAAATCTCTGTGGCCGGGGGCATCAATGATGGTCACATAATACTTGGCCGTCTCGAATTTCCACAGAGCAATGTCGATGGTGATGCCACGCTCGCGCTCCGCCTTAAGCTTGTCCAGCACCCAGGCGTACTTGAACGAGCCCTTGCCCATCTCCTGGGCCTCCTTCTCGAACTTCTCAATCGTACGCTTGTCAATGCCGCCGCATTTGTAAATCAAATGTCCGGTGGTCGTGGACTTGCCCGAATCGACGTGTCCAATCACCACAATATTAATATGAATCTTCTCCTTGCCCATCTTCTCTAGCTGTTTCTTCTTTTTCCAGATGAATGCTAATCAACGACGGTGCGGCTGCTTTCTCTACATGGATAGAATAGATAAAACCCAGAGAATGGGCGACAGAGAGAGAAAGAGAGAACAGACATAAGGATTCGGGGAAAACATCATGTATGTACATATGTAGCGATGTGTGGCTGACGTGGGTGTAGACACATCAAAAAAAAAAAAAAAAACGTTGCATACATGTCGAAACAATTTCCGGACATAGGCCGAAAGCTGTAGAGAGGAGAGGAGTGCCACTCACCTATATATTTATGACGGATTTGACTTATGGCTGGCGCCTTTACGGTCTTTACGGTCAAAACTGTTGACAAATCCACTGGATGCTGAATCCTAGAATAAATTTTAATTAAGTTCTGTATGGAATATTCGGAATACTGAAGTTTTAAATATAGATGTGACGCGCTCCAGACACGGAGAACGACTGAATCTCGGCGTTTCTGCAACCCGGTCTAAAAAATCAATAACGAGCCCCAGACAGAAACAGAACCCGAGTTGGAGCCGAGTGTGTGGCAGCCGCAGCTAACGACTGAGCAATGCACTCTCCTCTCAGACAGTGCGCGCCCACCACCCCACCACCCTACCATACCAGTCGCAACAACACGGAAGACATTGTGGCAGGCAGAGAAAGTGTCGGGTGTGCGCCGCTCCCAAGGAGAGTGAATGGCAGCGAAGTGGTGGCTCAAATTGATCGAATTAGCTTTCCCATTAAGATGGATATGATAGATGAGGTTCCTTTTATGTTTTTCTACGAAATGGAAGCAAAATCAATGATGACGTCGTAGGCAAAAGCCTATGCAAAGCATCGGCATTCGGGGACATTCGTGTGTGTGTCTCTGGGCTGCTCTCGCCGGCAGGGTATTGCTATTCGCGATTCTCAAAAAGGGTGCAAAACTGCACACAGAGAGAGAGAGAGACAGAGAGAGAGAGAGAGAGAGAGGAGAGGAGAGACACCAAACATGTAGAGAAAGAGATGCACTTGCTCGGCAGCGGCTGGCTCATCGTTTAACATCGATTCTCGTCGGCCGCCGCCTGCCTTCGTCTTGGATAAACTTGCAACCGAACGAACACACTTGCAGCACACACACACACATACACACTCTAGGGCGTTGTGATTTATTTTCTACCCTAGTGACAATTTTTACTTTTGTGAATTTTCATTTTATTTTTAACTCTGTATTTGCGTCGAAGTGCAAATTGCAAGAAAAGAAGACACGAGAAAAAGGGAAATGTAAAAATACTTTGGCATGCAAAATCTCTCACACACACACGCAGAGATGCAGTTGAAGCAGGGCGGAAAAAGGGGGAGGTACGATAATCTGCAGAGCATGTGTCATATGCAAATGCACATGCTTTTAGTTAAATTGATGAAAATTCCCATAAAATGAAAGGAAAACACGTAAAATGGCTAAAAAAATCAAGGAAACCCTAACACACACACAGTTGTTGCAATTCTTTGCCAAAACGGCCGCCATGTTGGAAATGAAATGTCTCAACCGCAAAAATAATAGTTTAAATCAGTTCCAAATGGAGCCAACAAATGCACAACCCTTTAACTTTTGTTCGCTTTATCGAACAGTTTTCACAGCCATCGTTATTTATGCACGGGCTCTTATGCAAAAATGTTATAGGACACCGGCCGGTAATCCGACTTTTCCGCACACACACACACACACACACACACACAGGCATACACATGAAAATGCAACGAAGGTGTCGTCGGTTCGGTTGTAAAAAAATTGAATTCAATGGCTTTTCGCCCCACAAAAAAACAGGAAGCGGGAATTATTGATGAATAGACAATAGTATCTATGGCCCCACACTTGTTTTGTTAATTGACACTCGAAAAATCAATCGATGCCTATTAATATAGGCAATTTTCAGGAATTTAGCCAGACCCTTTTGCGGTTTACGTGCACTTACCTCGAAATCAGAAAACGGAAAGAGCGAAAAATTTAACGGGAGCCTCGGTGTACATGCACTTGCTCACAATCGAAAAGCTGCGGAAACATCGATAGTACTATCGAATTTGACTAAAACGAAAACGAATGTTTTGACTCCATTTCGATGCATTTTTTAACAAAATTGAACATGTTTAAATATTAAAGAAACATTGAGAGAGACAAGACATACATAGCGGGCCTAAGCTCTAAACATTCCAATCATATTCCACTTATTTCTATTTACCTGACGCTGACCACCAGTGGCCTGCCATTTCACTAATGGAGAATGTTATTTGCGCGACATCTCTTCCTTTGGACCATACAAATTATCCCCAATTCAGAAACCAAATAAAATTAGTTTGGAGTACCCATTTAGTATGTATTCAAAATATTAAGTAAAAGCTAAATATTACATGAAAAGGCAAAGAGATGCCGTAAGCATTCTTTTTTATTTCCATTCACTGTCCGACTCGTACTCAGGCCAATCTGGCTTTACATCTGCTGTTAGGTTCTTCTGCTCCAGATAGACATTGAACTGCTCGGGAATGGACATAAATCTGCGAATCTTCAAGCGAAACTGTCTCCATGTCAGTTGACCATAGTTCTTCCTATCTGTGACCATGCCTTTGTAGTTGAACTTGTATTTGTTGAGGAAATAGGAGAGCTCTTTGACGACACCTTTGGGTAGTCTGTAAGAATCACATAGATATAAAAATGGTCATCACACAGGAATCCATGTTTACCTGAACTCTGGGTCCGCGCGCTCGCTAGCCAATTGCTCAAGCTCCTCTACCACATGACCGCGTTTTGGCCCCTCTTCTATAGGGGCTTTCTTTATGCCCAGTAACAGTCGCTCTTCCTCGTCGAGTTCCTCCTCAACGAAGCCATTCACAATTTTAGCCGCATGAAGTCGGTCCTTTCTGTAGCTGGGTATCGCAATTGCCTTGTTGGGATCCTTGGCCAAACCCATTTCGCTGAAGTTGGTGCCCACACGCTGACCCTCCACCCACATCTTTTTCAGAGTAGGACTGCGATAAATAACGTTATTGATGGACATGAACACTCATAAAAAAGTAAACTCACTCCTTGATTTTGCCAGTGGAACTGCGTGTTTTGTTGAGTGTTTTACGGTTCACACTGTAGCGATAGTGCTTGCCTTTATGGTTCTTGCGAATCTTCATGGCTGTATGTTTTAAATTTCTTAAACTTCTTCACTAGCTAAAAATCAAAACAATTTGCAGTCGCACGTGTGTAGCAGTGTGACCGCGGACCCATTCATAAGATATACGGTCTGACCGTATCTCAGAAATATACCAAAATATACGTCACAGTTTCATAATATACCAAAGATATACTGACGAATTATTTGTATTCGTATTCCATCATATTCCTCGATTTTGATATTCTGTTGAATATTACCACTAACCATACAGTATACTGTATGCGGTAATGCGTTCCATCAATCCGGTGTAAAGCAATTGCCAGTGACTTCCAAACGCTGTGTTGGTTATATCTACCTTATAAAAACCGTAATAATCGTTTGGTTCTCGTACTGTATAGTTAGTTGTGGTCGACTTAAATCCGACTCTTTCTACGGCCCATACATCATAGGTATAGAACAAAAGCTAGGATTTACCGAAAAAACGCACTCCCCATTAATAATCTAGATCAGGTCGGTTCAATTATAAAATCCGTTACTTCAAGTAGACCTTGGTGCCATACATGCCATAAAAAGGGGCAATTTTATTTACAGTCCTTTTTGACCGCAGAATTTGGTGGCCCAAAAACCGTTACATTTCTCGATTTTACCTAATAATACCGTAAAAGAGGTGTATTTCCTTCAAAAAATTAACTTCTTGTGTCTGTGTAGTGGCCAAGTGCAGAAAAGTTAAAAGGGAAATGAAGTTCCAATTCCAACAACCACTTCATCCAGCTTAAAAAATGGCTAAATTGAAGATTCCTTAAATTGTAATTCGGCGGAATACCAACAATACAATACAATGACCGCAGGGCTGGAAAGAAATTTAATGGAACGAATTTTGCTACATGGCATCTACACAGGGATGAAACCGTAAATGCGGCACCTGGTAATTCTACACGATTGAAAAAACCGCTTTGCAGTACTCCAGTTAGAGATGGTGTACCAGCTATACCAAACCGATAACGATTACTTTGATATAGACGGTGGAATCTGTTTTTGCGTTTTGTTTATAACAAAATCAAACCGGCACAATGCGCGATGAAATATTGGATCCCAACAATCTGGTTAAGAACCGGGAAATACTGTACCGACTGATGATAAGGTAAGGTTGTGTGTTTGCAGACCAGAACCCTCAATTATCCTATATTCCATATTGCAGCCAGCTGATGTACGATGGCTTGGAGAAGTTCGCCATGGAGCTGTCGATGCTGGTCAAGGCAGATCAGTGCGCCCCGAGCGAGCGCCTGCTGCATGTGATGATATCCGGCATGCAGACATTGTCCGACAAGGAGAAACTCAATTCCGACGACGTCCTGCCTGGCATAGATCTCGAGTTTGAGCCCGAAGCATCCGCCCTGGCGCCGGAGCCGCACTCCTATGAAACGGCCTACGTGACGTCTCACAAGCAGGCTTGCCGTGCCGGCGCCTTTAGTTACGACGGCTCTCTGGTGGCCACCGGCAGTGTGGATGCCAGCATCAAGATTTTGGATGTGGAGCGTATGCTGGCCAAGTCTGCGCCAGACGAATGTGAGCCGGGTCGCGAGCAACAGGGTCATCCGGTTATACGCACCCTGTATGACCACACCGATGAGGTGTCCTATCTGGAGTTTCATCCCAAGGAGCACATCCTGGCATCGGCATCGCGTGATGGCACTGTCAAACTGTTTGACATCGCCAAGCCATCGGTAAAGAAGGCCCACAAAGTATTTACCGACTGTGAGCCGGTGTTGTGTCTGTCGTTTCATCCCACTGGCGACTACATAGCCATCGGCACGGAGCACAATGTTCTGCGTGTGTACGATGTGCACACCACGCAGTGTTTCGTCAGCGCTATTCCCTCGCAGCAGCATAAGGCCGGGGTCACGTGTGTGAAGTATTCGCCCACAGCCAAACTATATGCGACGGGCAGCTATGATGGCGACATCAAGGTCTGGGATGGCATCAGTGGCCGTTGCATCAACACCATTGCGGAGGCCCATGGCGGGGCGGCCATTTGCTCCCTGCAATTCACACGAAACGGCAAGGTAAGTGTTGGCCATGACCCTGGGACACCATTCCTTCTTATCCAAGCACTATTCTCGATTTCATTGCATTCCAGTATCTACTATCTTCGGGTATGGATTCGCTTGTCTACCTGTGGGAGCTCTGCACCAGTCGACCCATACAAACGTACACGGGCGCCGGCACTACCGGCAAGCAGGAGAACCAAACCGAGGCCGTCTTTAACCACACCGAGGACTATGTCCTCTTTCCCGACGAGGCAACGACATCTCTGTGTTCCTGGAATTCGCGCAACGGCTGTAGGCTAACGCTCAACTCTCTGGGCCACAACGGACCTGTACGCTACATCACCCATTCGCCCAATTCGCCCGCGTTCCTAACCTGCTCCGATGACTTTCGTGCACGCTTCTGGTATCGAAGGGCCACCAATCAATAATTTGTACCATAGAAAGTGGAAGAAATTTCGGAAAAAAATAAACTATTTAAGAATGAAAACTACTCGCAATTTGAATGACAAATTTTCCTCGAATATTAGTATAAGATTAATTATTCGGTAACACGTGTCACGCGTCATGCAGCAGCGCTCATCTGTCGGTTGGACGGAAAGAGGACTGTGTTTCTGTCGCAGAGGCCACTCAATGGTCCAGTCCTTGCATATCAACGTTCAATGTAATTAAAAGCAAATCAAAATATCAGATGTAGCATCTTTGGTGTAGTATCGTCGGTTATTTTTAGTAAAATTCTCTTTATTTTATGAACTCCTTCAAGTGTCTCTCCATGAATCGAATCGTAAGCCTAGACTCCACTCTCGCGTCTTGATCTGTAATATCTGTAATAGTATAATATCTATCGGATTGAGCGCATTGTAAGTTGTAAGTCGTAATGGTTGCCATTTAAGTAAATTGTTTATGTGATAATACAAGTAATTGACAGACAGAGATCCCACTCCACCTCGAAATTGGCTTTTTCGTCGTATAAATATCAGTTCAGTTCAGATTTCTTCTTCACTGGGAAGTCCTTTGCGCATTTTGTTGTACATTGGAACATGCCTTATAGTCTAGTTCTATATCCTAATTAAGTAGTCGATAATTAAGTTTACAACATTTTTGGCGGGGCCGCAGAAACGCCTGCTCCTTCCGTGGCGCGGACCCCTTTACCAATTCATTTTGATAATTGCACAAATAGCCAATACATTTGATTTCATTTCATCTTGTTGCCAAGGATATGAACAAAATTATACTACGGGGACTTTGAGTATTAAACAAATCTATATACTATATATGTATATGCTATATATGTACAACAAAAACAAAAAGTATGCTAAAATAAAACAAAAGTTTACAAATCAAAAAAAAGGGTTCAACAAAATCACAAAAAGAAAAGAAAAAGTTCTAAAAGTCCCTTCCCCTACCCCATTAGGAAGGGGTTCGGTTCGGATCGGTTATCTTCGAACTCTGTAAATTGTTTATAATTAAAGCCGAAAGTCATTAGAGTTCACTGAACTGTGCGCGCACAATGGCAGGTGGGTTACGTTCTTCCCGCTTGCCAGCTTGGGCCCAAGGATTAGCATTCTTACAGGCTAAAAATACACTAGATTAAGAGTGTTACTTAATTTTAAGGCTATCTGGACGGAGCACGTAGTAGTACGAGTAGTGTTTTAGCTTAGTATTGCTTTAATTTAACTAACAATCCGGTTGAGTGTTTGTGTTTTTGTTTGCTTATCCTTAACCGTATCAAGTATTCTACAGTTGAGAGACCTCGCTATAAGGTGCGTTCTGTGTGTGTGCGTTAGCGTTAAGTGGGGATCCCTTTCCAAAGTCTTTACGTTGCGGTGGTTTGTGCGGTGGTGGCCAGTGCCAGGCTCTTGCCCTCGGCCACGGCGCATGTGGTGGGCGGCGACGGCGAGGGCGATGGCGTCGGCGACGGCGAGATCTGTATCTCATTCTTGATGATGACATCGTGTTGCAGGCTCAGCATGGCCGCGGCGACTGCCTCGGGATTGGAGGCCTCATAGCCGTCACTCAGCTCCTGGTCCTCCTGCTTTACGTCCTCTGGCAGCAGGAGGCAGCTATCCTGTTGCTCCATCTGCTGTTGCTCAATCCGCTCCATTTGCTGTTCGAGCTGTCGCTGGTAGTGCTCTTGCTCTTGCTGCTGCTGTTGTTGTTGCTGGTACATGGAGGCCTGCATTTCGCCAGCCGCCGCTGCGGTGATCAAATACTTGAGCGGACTGAAGGCACTCATATCCTTGGGTGGCGTAAAATTCTCGTGCGTCATCTTCAGGTGGTTCTTCATCTTGTCCGGGCGTGAGAACTCCTTGCAGCACACTGGGCAGGGGAACACCTTGCGATGCTTGCCCTCGTGGTAGAGGAACGCGTGCCGCTGGAAGCTGTACTTGTTCTTGAACGTCTTCTGCATGTTCTCCTTGGCACACTCTGTGCACCGATAGACGCCCTCCACCACACTGGCGTACCGGAACAGATCCAATCCACGGACCGACATCTCCGTGAGATGCTCCGCCTGGTCGTCTATCGTGGACTGGGCCTTGCGTCGCACCCTTCTCCGCTGAATGGGACGCTTGGCTGGCTTCTTGGAGCCCGAAAGACGCGTTGGATTGCTTGCCCGGACACCGCCAGATGCTGCTGGTGATTTGTCGGACACTGCTGTGGGTTCGGAGTCGGTGGCTTGATAGCCAGGCAGACCAGCATTCTCATCGGCCAGTGTAAGCAACTCGTGATCGGGCTCATCTGCCTTATCCTGCTGGTCGGCCATGCAGAGAAGCTCCATGTCATCATCCGGATACTGGTCAGCGCTCAATGGCGACGCCTGCTGCTGCTGCTGTTGTTGTTGCTGCTGGTAATAGTCCGCCGCCTTCTGCTGATTGGCGGCCATGTGCATCAGGATCTGGTGGTGCAAATTGCCGCTGCTGTTAGCCACTTGGGCTGCCTGCTGTTCCGCCGCATTGGCCAGCGACTGTAGTCCACTGCAGGCGGTGGCGTGTGCCTCCTCCTGGCTCTCGATGTCAGTCTCTTCGATGGGGGATGGCGCTGCTGCTGCTGCTGCTGCTGGCAACCTGGGCACCTCGGGATCTTTGGCCCCGCCACGCAGCTGTTGTTTCAGAAGAGAGTTGCTGTTGCTGTTGCCGTTGCCACTGCCTTTAGGTTTTGTCTTGGACTGCGACTGTGTGGGCGATGGTGGTTGGGCCTGTGACTGCTTCTGAGGGGAAGTCGTGTTGGGGTTAATGGCGCGTATTTTCAGCCCTAAAATCGTTGGCAAATGGACTGGATTATTGCCAACTTCCAGCAGCGTGGCCACCGTTGGTTCTGCCGCAGAGGTAGTGGCTGTGGCTGCCCCCAAACCAGATCCTGTTCCAGCTGAAGTCGTAGTCTTGGCCGAAATTGTGGTGGTCAGCGTTGAGGTGGACCCAAAGAGCCGCTGCGAGAGTTCCGGTGTGGCCTGCGACTGGGCGGCTGTGACTGTAAAAATATAGTTTGAAAATTAATTTTGAATTATTTTTTTAGATGCCAATTATGCTAAATGTTTTTTTTGTGGGGGAAAATCCTGTTTTATAACTAAATTCAATAAAAAAAAAAACAATCAATTTTTGGTTCAGAACTGATTTTTGTTTTGTGTTTTTTGCATCGTGTATTTTATTTCTCTTCTGTTTTTGTTTGTTGTTGTTGTTTGTTTGTTTGTTGTTTGTTTAGCAGTTAAGCGATAATAGTATTATTATAAAAAGTTCTGTTTTACTTGATAGTTCTCCTTCCTACTATAACAAAAATTAGTTATAAATATATATCAGAATAATATTGCGTGTGATTCACTATTTAGTAGTTAGGTAGTTTTTAAATCATTATTTATTTATCATTAGATCGTATCGTATCGTCGTATTTAGCTAATTTTAAACGGAAACCAAGTTTACCAACGAATTTGCAGACAATTTTCTCGTTATTTGCCTTGCGATTCTGTTCTGGAAAGATCTGGTCAGATACATATACACATATGTTGTATGTATATTCATATATTTCTTTGGGCATCAAAAGCATGACTCTGTTATATATATTTATATATATTGATTCCTCGTTAAGTGTTCGAGTGTTGTGGACATCGTTTGAAAGCGAGAAAATTGCCGAGGGGTTTTTTTTTGTAAGTTTTGATTTTTAGTTCTTTGAATGTAAAAAATATATGTGTATATAGTGTATATATATAAAAAGTAGACTAAAAATAAAAGTAAAATATAGTACAAACAATCTACAATATATATTGTGTTTGATTGATATTTCTTTTTGTATATAATAAACGCCAAAAAAACAAAGATTGGAAGATAGATGGAAAAACATCCTTGTCGAGAGAGATGGTTGGTGGTTCTGTTTTTGGAGATTGTTAGGTGGTTGGTGCTTAGTGATTGGTGGTGTGGGTTCGACGGCGGCTTACGGACTAAATTGCACTAGCTACCACTAAATAAAGAATTAAAAACAAAATTATTTAATAAATTAGCGTACGCAGCTCCGTTTTATTATTTGATTGCGCATAATTTTTACTTTTCATTTTTTTTTTTTTTTTTTAATTTTCTTTTTGCAGTTTTCAGTGAATTTTTGTTGTCTACATGACTTGAGGAATAACTCTTTCTTGTTGTCTGTATTTTTTTTGTTTTTGTATTTATTTATTATTCTTCTTTGCAGATTTTAAACCTTTCGCTTATGTTTTGAGTTTTTTTTTTTTGTTTTTTTGGAGATCGTTTTGTTTTAACAACAATAAATTTGTAATTTTAACATTCTCTATTTTTTCTGTTTGCTGCTGCGTTTGGATTTTTCAACTGCGTTTTTGCGTTTGCTTTTGATTTTCATTTTCTTTGGCGATAATTTAAGCCTCCGATATACAACATAAATCGTTTAATAGATTGATGATAAATTATGTTTAGTTTTTATGTTCATTAATTAATAATTATTATCATTACAAATATTATTGTATATTATTGTTGCTGTTACTATTTGTAGTTACAATTTATCATCGATCAGTGACCGATTAATAATCGACAAACCATCCCACCCCCATTCCCACTCCCGATACCAACGAAACATTTGCAACCTTTCGTTGGATATCCTATGGGGTCGGGTGATCAATCTGTATAGGTGTGTGTGTGTGTTGGTGAGTGACTGGGGGTCACAAAAAAGGACCTTGCGCCCAGACTCGGGATTTAACTTTTAACTAGCTTCATTTGAAGGCAACAAGGTAGATTTGCGCTCCCTCTCGCATGATTAACATTACAATTTTTTCTCTTCCGTTTCCGTTTTTAGCTTTCGCGATTCGTAAGATGTAAGATTTATATATAATATAGCATATATATTAACATAGGCATATCTGAACATAAGATAATGATAAATTAATTAATAGAACTACGGGCTAAGCATAAACATACCATTCAATGTTTATAGATATTGTGTATATTTATATGGTATATATATAAATCTGTATCTAAAGCTATGCAGATACGTTTTTAATTATCTAAAAGTGCTGTCGG